GTTGCCATCGATGAAACTTTGCCTGAACACACTTTACACGTTGTAGTCTTGAGGAAAATTAGTCTTGATTTCGTAAAAATTCGGCAAGATACTGAAAACTAAACATAAAATCATGTACTTACATTCGATACCCGTCAAGATGGCGGCGGCGGCGTCGAAGGTCATTTGAAAACTGTCGCTTTTAACTACCGAAATGTGGCAGGAAACTTCTCTTGACATTCAAAAGGCAAGGAGAAGGCTTCTTCATCGGTACTGCTAGCTCGGAAGTCTCGGATATTGAATGAGGAGACCTGGAACAGGCTTTGAAAAAACCTCCCTTGTTTCTTGCGATTATTTTTTCCTATTTTTGCGTGTTTTTAGCAGAACAATGGAATCATGACGTCATCGCTTCTTCCAAAACTGGCATACTCCCGAACTGCTAGATGAGCAAAAACTTGCTTTGCTTGCTTTTTTTGCCTCATTAAAAAGTAAAAGGAAATGTATTTATTTTACATGTACATTGTTTAAAATGACTGAACCGAAATATCGAAAGACGCCCGAGCGATCAAGATATAGCTATTTTGGAACAAGACTGATTGTTCCCGCCTCATCAATACCAACAATGAAATATCCATAGACATATTATAATCACCTCTACATCAAGGGCATTCTCGATAAACAAACAGCCAAGGAACCCGGACTACTTAAACGCGCAGCACTTAAACGTTTTTACGAAAAGAAGAAACCAAATTTTCACATTAAAATAACGTAAAGGGTTATACTTGAAGTGGCTAATAAGAAACCTGTCTAAAATACAACAGTCACTTTAGGTTACAAGGTATTGTTTCACGGTTTTCCGCTCAAATGACTTTTTACCTTGGGCTCAGCAAGATCCCAACAAAGTTAATTAACAAAGAGAAAAAGACGCGAATGCAATTTACGCCATACATCTTTCAGTACTTGCACCTTCATAAGGCTAAACAGTGCATAATTGGCTTGCAAGTGTTAGCAAAAAAAATATAGGTAATTTAAGTTGAAAAAGCAACTGTTTAGGTCTAATTTCGCTGAATGGTTTCTAGGACATTGACGGCAAAATACTTATAAAGATAGAAGAACACTGACTGCGATTTTCTGATTAAGCATGAACTACAATGTAATCCACGTCGACGTCAGTTTGTCATGTACTTGTACGAAACAGTACGTTAATCAGCCAGCAAAGAAAATAAAAGTTCTTCACTTTCCTTTCGTTATCGAAAACGTTGCAATCAATGACAGATCATTGTCCATAAAGGTTAAGTTGAAAAATTAATGAACCAAATATGGATTTTCTGAAAATGCTGTCAGCTGTGTAATCACTGAGGTCATTGTTGACATGCTATTTTGGGACATAGGCCTTGCTGTCTAGCGTCATCTTCGGAAATAACAGAATAAGAGTAATGGATGTACAGCTGTATGGGTCTAGAACTCAATCAGCGAACCCAGTCATCCATGGTGCTGTATCATGGGTCCACTACCACCCAGCAAGTGATCGCAAAAATGAAGAACCTAGTTTTTAAAAACCTGTTTATCTAAATTTGCCACTTATACCCCACAATACAGGAACAACTCTGTTTAACCTTTGCGTGTGATCCGCGCTTTAATTTTTCTTATTATAGTCGTATAAGCATGTATTTGTAAATACTTACTTCGTATGCAGACTTTCAAAGGTTCAGATAGGCTTAAGAGCACTACCTTTTTACATCCCAAGGTGGACAGTACATTACAGTTCTTTCCAGTGCAGAGATAGATCTTAAAGGAAGTGATAGGGTGGAAGGGATGCTCGCCCAGAACCCAAGATACACGCGAAAGAAGGACCCGTCCCAAAACTAACACTTTCTCGGCCCTGCGAACTTTAGTTTGGTCTAAAAATAGAGTGTAGGGGAGGGGGTTCTCGGGCCCCTCTCCTACATCCGTTCATTACTGAGCAGATTAAGCCATTTTCCATCCCCTGCCTTAGCCTGTTCCAGGCTCCGAGATAGTATGGTCCGCAAAATTGAGAAAGCGCGAACACAATGCGTCATCCCCACTATCTGAGAGAAAGGAACAGGCTACCCTTGTCTATAAAACTGCTCTTTCATTCATTCCAAGAAATTCGTACAGTTGATAACCTTACCCAGCTGTCTCGTTAGCCGGCGTAGGCTACTGTCTCGTATTCAACTATGAGGTATTAAAAACATCACCAGTTCACGGCTTTTTAGCTGAAAACAAACCTAAAATAATAAAGTTGCAAACTCTAAAAGCATTTTTTTTTTTTTAACCCATTCGCCCCTGAACTGCCCGTAACCGCCCGTGCGGATCCACGTCCTTTCTACCGTTTGTGACGTCATCCGTTTTAACGGTCAAGGACAACTTTGTCCGCTAACTTGTGCAGAGTGAAGAGATCTTTCAAACCATACCAGAATGAGCACAATTCAGTCAAGGACACCGGAGAAACAAGCAAAAAACCATGTAACATTGACCTGAAAATCTCCATGAAAATCTTGTTCCACTGCCCACCTACTTTTCCTTTCAACTAATCCTAAGATCCTAAAAGCTTTCCTAAAAACTATTCCCACCAAAATGAAGCCTACTAAATGTCCAGCAAGAGAAAAAAAAAAATGAGGCAAGAAAAGCGAAAAAAGAGGGGAGGAGAGAAAGCGAAAAGTAAAAGTCAAGACTGCTGTGT